GGTTTTTACGTGGTTGTGAATTTAGGGTCTTTTTCCCTCCTTAATGTTTGTTACCCTTAACTCTCCCTTTAATAAGCTTCTCCCTAAGTATGAAATAGTCAAGGTCACTATTATATTTATGATAGAAGCAGCTGAAGATGGTTTCATAGCACAGATGTAGCAGGAATATAAATTATGCTCAGAATTCTGAATGAAATATCAAAAGCACAAAATAATCTTTCCAGATAGCTTTTTACCTTCCAGAGATTTATATATTTATCCATTGAAGAAAGGATCCCAGCCGCATAGCTCTTCATTATCCCCAAAATAACAGACTTGAAGAATATAAAAGAAAACACAGCATCTTTACTATCATAAGACACACCATATTTTGAGGACTGTTGCAAAGAGACTGGCAACCCCACTGATGTCATTTTTATGAAGATGATGTACTATTTTATCTCCTGAAAAAAATGAAGTAATTTAATGGGCTCTGTGACAACAGTGCCAATTAAATGCGTCTTTTACAAGGGTACAGTTTTTGCTTTGATCAGGCAATTAATCTAAGAATTACAAAGCATCATTTCATCCTGCAATCAGTAATGTAAGTTTTCAGTTCAGTAACTGCGGATTTCCTTGTTTTCTACTATCCAGTTGGTTTGGACTTCAAAATAAAGCAAGCCCAATTAATTTAGATTGGTGAAATTGTTTTTTGAAGACTTCCTACAACTATGATAAAAGATGTTAATATTTGCTGAAGTAATCCTGAATTCCCATGTAATTATGACAGATTCGTTGTCATTAATATTGATTATATTTAATTTTCTGTTTATTAACTTGGAAAAATTTTTCTCAAGTGTTCCATGAGTTTCTACGAGTACATGGCAATGTAACTGAGAAATGTTGACATTCTGTTTGTCTGCCTCCCACATGGCCCAGACAAGTCAGTAAGTTATATGCAGGAGACCACCGGAGACAAAAATATTACGTGACCATCCTGATTATGCTTGGAAGATAATTTTAAGACTTTAAAATAATCATTTTACAATACAGTAGACATTTGGCCATGTGCACCCATGTCATGCTTCAGTTTGGCTTACATCTACTTCCTATAAATTTTTTTAATTGGTATTATTTTCACATACAAGACATCACATCTAAGTAAGTAAGTGCTAGTGGGGAAAATAGTCAAGGATAAAATAAAATTATGATCATCTGAACAGAGTTAAAAAATTATTTTACAATCAAACAACAGCAAAACTAACTGGCTTGGAAATAAATGTTCAAGTGAGATCATTTTTCTGTGAATGTTCTTAAAATATGAAGAGATATGGATAGGTCTAGATACAGGAATAATCAGAGAGATAAGCTAGAAACATGATTTAGAGTTAGCACTCTGAGAATCTGAATGAGAACAAATTGTACACTTAGACCACAGTGCATGTGATCAGAGTACGAGTACGTAGAGAAAGAAATCATAAAACTATCGGTAAAGATGCAACTACCATGCAACTGTAGAAATCACCCACCAAATCTAATTTCAAACATCAGAAATAAAAAGGCTCAGGCTATTCAGAGTTTCAATTTGGATGAAAATAGAAATTGGGATATTCCATTGCTTTGACAGAGGAATCACATTCTAAGCAGGAAAAGTTCAGTGTTATGGAGCTATTCTAATACATAGTCATTATCTATGGGATATTATGTTAAATTACCTATAGAGTTCTATAAGTCAAAGGCTCTGCAGTGAAATTTGCCAGTGTGAAGCCTGTAGCAGGTCTTAGAGCCCTTTAAATGCTCAAGTAGAGCAGTGGACTCTAGTCCATACAAAAATATGCACAGCTGCCTACAGTCATAGTATGAGACTGATTCTCAACTGGCAAATTTAAAAAGGCAAGGAAGAGGACTAGATTTTTGCCTCAAAGAGGACAGGCAGAGAGCGACTCAGATGGAAGAGGCTGGACACATAAGGCACAGAGAAGGATACTGCTCCCTGACATGACGTCATTCTATGAAGTTGCTATAGTATCTTTTAATACAATAAAAGATCAAGTTTGAAATTGTATGTTCAGGGTGGCTGTGTCCTGGCTGGTAAAAGGCATAGTCTACCTACAGAGATGAAAAAACAACAGCCTTTTCTAATAACTGAGACACATAAGTCGCACATGGAAGGAAGCCTCCCTAACTCAGGGAGAATTTTTCTCTAAAATAAAGAAAACGCAGTTTTCTTCTCCAAGCACTAGCGTCTACATCCTTAAGAACCAGGTCTGAAATCTAATACAAAGGAGAAACATCTTTAAAATTTTATGACAATAACTAGGAATAAATAAGTGGAAGTGATGTTTTACATTTGTAAAAATGTATGAAAAATGAAAAAAAATGTTATTAAGTAAGCAAAAAAATTGACCTATTCATCTTCACCAATTGCTTCATCAACTTATATTGCAATTTCCAGGTAGAAAAGGTTATGAATGAAATGTGTCTTCGTCTTCAATATAAGTATCTGATTTGAAAAAAAAAAAAGCAATATCCTTTTTTGTTCTAAGAAAAATATGCAAAATATGCAATCAGTTTCCATTTTTTGTTCTAATCAATAAAGTATTTACCTAAAAATATTTGATTGGAGATAGACTAACTACAGTGAATTCATGAATAAACTATTTTTTCATCTGTATTATGAATATTTTCTAAGATGACCTAAATATTAGCATACATCAAGTAAAGAGAGTATACAGTTTCATGGTATATCTTTGTCTAGTCTGTTTCAGCATATACTGTAATTTGTAGTAATTTACTTGCATTTTATTTTTGTGTCTGAGTGACCTCTGGTGGTTATATATATAATGAATTGTTCATGACCACCTTGAATAAGAATCTTTAAAAAAAAAATTATTTAAGAAGTTAATAATTCTTCAAAGAGCAAAAAGCCAAAGGCTTTTAGCACATGGCATGTGAAAATTTACTTTAATCCGTGGAACAAGGACGGGGTTTCCTTTTTTCATAGTCTCTCTGCTTTTTCAGGACTCATTGCTTCTACTGTTTAATGAACGATTATTAAAAAAAGAGCAAGGTGGAGGGAAGGAAGAAAACTTAAATGGTCCAGGTTCAACCTTTAAGATAGAGGAAGTGTCCTTACATAATTACGTAACTGGGCAAGACACAGCAAATTGAGAACAGAAATGGAGAGCCAGTTTTCACAGTGAAAAAGCCAGCAGTGGTGTCCTACATGAGTCTACATTGGGCCCTGTACGGCTTTGAAAACACAACAAAAGTATCTGGAAGAGTGAATAATCTTGTAACAGAGAACTGCAAAGAGGCAATTGTGGGGGGCAGGGAGCGTTGTACATATAGTGATACACAAGTGGGTAAAAGCAGTTCTAGATTCACATCTTCATGAGCTCTGAACTGACTTTTCACATTTAAGAACAAAATCTTGGGGCTATAGCAGGAAGTTCTACAAAGAGATCACCTCTGTCAACAGTGGTCAAAAAGTAAACTAAATGTTACCAGGAATGGAAGAGGAAACAAAACAGAGAACTGTCTATCAACACATAGATCACTCATACACCTATATCCTCCTAAGAGGGTATAGTTCTGGTCTCCTATCTTAAAAAGCGTATATTGGGATCTGGAAAGGCAAGGGCAAGAAGGATTATTAAAGCCTTCATATGAGGAACTACTAAAGAAATTGGAAAAGAGTTGAGCAAATAGTAGTTCAGTAAATTTCCATAACACCCCACCATAACTGGCATAGAAAAGATGAACATGAAATGCTTGTTTCCTCTGCAATGTAAGAATCAGTAGGCCTCAGAACAAATCCAGCAAGTAGCAGGTCCAAACCAAAGGACCAACATCTTCGCTTAGCACTCTGTTTAGCTGTGAAGTTTCTTCCCAAAGGATGTTATGGATGATACATTTCTAAAAAAAGGTTTCAGAAAATTACTAGAGAAATTCAAAGACTTTATGCCTGGTTCAGAAAATCCCAGAGTTGCATATCACTGGAGGTATAGAGCATATTATAGAGAAATACGAGTACATGCTTGCATTGCTCTTACATGTTTTTCCATGCATCCACTCAGCTTCTGTCCCAGTACAGGTGCCAGATTAGACAGATCTTTGGATTGAGCCAGTAGGGCCATTCTTCACTGTGTTATGGAAGGGCTGAATTTGTCTTGTAAGACCATCAAAAAGAGCCTTATTTCGGGCAACCGATTATGGGATGTTGTGTTACAAATTTTTGTCTTGTAAGAACTGGATCAGCTAGTCATTTTACATTACATTGTTCTAACTGGCTACAGCTCATTTTTGACCTACTCTAAATCACAGCAGTCATCAAAAAACTTCAGCTGGAGCACCAGCCAGCTCATATAAGATGACAAATTACAGCATTATATCTTAATATAGTATATAGCACTGTTTTAAAAATTTTTGTAATAACCTAAAGAGTTAGAATCATTCATAATTTTCAAGTGTCACACAAGGTACAATAGCTAACAGTCCACTGGAATGTTCAGCAAACTCATTTCACCTAGTTTCATTTTGAAAAAACAAAGGAACTCTGTAGGTCACAAATTCTCAAATGACTCCTTCCTACTTTTCCTATAAATGAACTATAAAGTTTGGTAGACTGCCTACGGCTATCTGATTTTAGATTACATATACAAAAGTTACTTTGAAGACTTGAAAACATTAGTTTTTTGATAATGTTTTTAAATCTAATTTTTAATAATCAAAATATTTGAATACTAATTGAAAAAAAACAGTGTGAAAGTGACTACTTCATTTTCAGAAAAAAAAAAGGCTAGAGTTTTGTATCTTCAGTGGGTAGTTCTGCTGCAGTTTAGTCAAGATCACCACCACTACACACAAACAAGCAGGTTTACATGTTTAATTAACTGAATTAATTATATTCCCATTTTCACATATAGGGAAAAAGAAAGCACAGGTCAAAAAAGTCTAGAAACTGATATCAATAATAAAAGCCTCAATAAAACTCAAAAATAAAAAGAGATGGAAAGTACCTCAGAAACAGGAACTTTTTCTCCAAGTTCAGGTGTGTGTAATGCCAGCAAACCAATCACTCGAGCAACTTTGGCACGTCTGTGGATCAAACATTTTTTTTTTTTTTAAAGATTCAGAAAAAATGTTAAAGAATAAAGAAACAAATATGCCATGTTATTTATATTTTGCCCAGATTACTAAGGGCAGGAAATTTCTGAAGCACTATTTACAGCTCAGGTTTTCTCATTTCTATTGTCTTTTAATCATCAAATTATTTCTGTATTTCAGTTCAATTTAGTAATAAATTCATGCATAAAGATATGCTTTTTCCTCTAGCACTGAAGATGGAGATGCTTTAGTCTGTTGTAGTCATTCTAATTAGTCATGCTCATCGTGATAGCACTCTTAGAACGCAGAAAACCATTAGAGATTTTTTTTTAACTTTGTACTATAGATTTCACTTCTGTTTTGCCAATTAAATTGGTTTTAGAGGTTTCATTTAAAAAAACCTGTAATAATAAAAATTAACATTTATAAAAGAAGCAGTAGAGGGCACTATCACCTGGAAATATTTCCAACAGGCATATATATATATATATTTTTTTTTTTAAAAAGCTACCGTTATGCTATGGTTTGGTTTATTCAGGGATTTTGAACAAAGCCATTTGATATACTAAGTTATACAACTTCTAGATTAAAATTTTAGAGATTTTCTATAATTTTTGATCCTGAAAAAATAACAGTGTATTAAGCCAACACAGAAAAAATTCATTGTTTTATACTCACTACAAACCGTCCATCAAGTATACCATAGCAGGCTGGACAGGCCAAAGAATTCCCTCCAAAAAACGTTAATATATTTCTTCAAAAAAACTCAGAGCTAATCCCTATTTGAACAAATTAATTTAAAATAATTGTTACTTACATATCCCAGTTGGCGGCTGCACGCAGCTGCTGTATTAATACTGGAAACTACAATTTAAAGAAGATACATAAACATTAGTGATTTTCAGGGACTTAATATGCCTCAGTGATATTTAAAAAACAACAAAATACCAGTTATTATGTAAAAATGTATTTGGATAGCATTTGCAAAAAGTACCGCAGCAAAATACTGTGGATATTGCTAACCATGTTGATTTAAACAAAAAGTGATGGCAATTTTTTTTGTTTTAAATATTCCAGTCTTAAACTAAATGCTAAACTTGTATCAGTGTATTAAAGAAATATTATTTTACTTACAAATACCACCATACACAGCAAAAGCTGTGTTGCTATCATCTGCAAACACAGATTATCATATAATATTATCCAACAAGTTTGAGCAACAAAACTTATTTTTGTTAATTCTCACAAAAATAATTGACAAATACTAGAATATATGCTAGAAAAATACTTTAAAACAGACTCTTAAGAGCATGCTCTCTGAAACGGTGCTTAATGCAAGTTCTACTGTTTGTTCTGAAGAAATATTTTCTTGTTATTCTTTATGGAGATATGGCCAAATAAAGTTACTTTAACAATTCAAACATGCACTTTTTTCAATTGGTCTTTTCTGTCACACACTTAATGATTTACAAAGACTGTAACATTTCATCACACATATTTTCAAACTCTCCATCAAGGGTAGAAACGATTTAAAAAAATACCACCATTTTACAAACCACAAGTCACAAGTAAGAGGATGTGAAATCTAAGAGAAAGAGTTGATTTCCGTCAGCTCCTTTAAAAAACCTGACATGGAATTTCATAAGCGTTTTTCATTGTTTTGTATTTAATTTGCTGTACTATTTTGGTCAGTACAACAATGGTTTCTTGAAATAGAACTAAAAGCAGCCGGTTTTTGCTACAATGACAAGTATGTGAAACATGCTGATTCCTTCAGAGCTTTATTATTTACCAGCTGAGAGCTCATTAGCCTGCCTGCAACTTCCTTATGGACAGCCACAGTGCACAAGTAATACAGTAAATTCAGTTTAGAACGTGCTGCTGCTGTATTCTTCTCAGTGGAATCAAGCAGTGAACACAATTGTTGTAAGAAGTCATTCCAGTCCATGTCTTTCATAGATAATAATTTCTCAGCTAATGATAAGAAACAAACAAGGTAATAAATCTTTAACATGCTAGAATAAAATGTCACAATGAATAAAAGGCATTTCAAAATTTGAATCTAATCATACTTTTAGTATTTAAAATATTTTTAAATGTTGTTATAATAGGTACAAAGCATAAAAAGGCAGCAATAAATACATCAACACAGTTTTGAAAATGGAACTCTGCTAACTCTTCAGGCTTTATTTAGTTAAGTAAATACTGATTGGCATTGCATTTAAGAAAGGAAGTTGTTTTTAATCCTTAATCACTCTTAATTTTTAATAAGAAAACGGAATTTCATTAAAGATGAGGCAAAAACTAGCCAAAGTCAGTGAAATCTACTCAGAATCAACTGCAATAAATTTAAAATGTGTATATTTATTCACATACATATGTATATGTATCCATCTGTTTAAGTCTTAGTAGTATCAGAACACACATGGCTTGAACAGGAAGACAAAAATCAACAGCCTTTAGGACAATTAGCATAAACGTGCTTTGCAAATCTCTGATCACTGTAGGAGAAAAGAGAATTTTCAAAGGCTTCCTTACTAGTCTCAAGGGTTAAGCTCAGTCCACTCTAATAACAGTAATAAATTCAAACTGAAGGAATGTATTAAGTGATCTGCCATCCCGACATGCTCCTAATATGGAATATTTAAGAGTTTGTCTTCTGTCTTTTACACCAGTTTTATACATAAGTAACAACACTGACTAATGAAGGCAATTCTAATTCTAAGGTGAAAAGAGTTTTATATTTCAGGCATCTATCTTAATTTTGATACTGCTTTTAATCATAAAGAAAAAAGGCTGATAGGCAGCATCAGATTAATTATCTTCTAAAAGGACCAGAAAACTGTCCAGAAAAAAAGCTGTGACCCTGAAAATATTACAACCACAAAAAACATTGTCCCATATTAAGTAAATAAAGCCAATAAAAGACCTCAGAACATCAGACTGATGATTGAGGTGCTTAAAATCAATATGCAATAAAAAGCTAACCCCTTAGGCACCCCAGTCTGAGCATTTTCGCCAAGGGCTTTATCCTATATAAAATATTTTCTTCTACTACAATTTTGACTGGGAAACTGGAAACATTGTGCTCAATTCCAACTATAAGTTTGGTTTTTAAAAAAAAAAACAACTCTACTGAAAAAAGAAAAGGAACTTGATTATCTCTAGGAAGAGGCACTATCTGAATTCTATGATGAATAGATTTTTCGCTGAAATCCCTCTTTAAGCATAGTAAAGGCTAACAATACTTCCCTAAATAGACCGAAGAAAATGTTCTAAGGGAAGAAACGTTATACTCATGACAACGACAACCCTTTTGTTTTTAGGAATAATAGCCTTACTAGATATTAGAAAAAAAAAAATAACTCTACATTACTATTAAGGAACATTTCATCATTACAGGTGGGATTAGCAAGGCCGCCTACTACTGGTTGACTGACACTGCACATTTTCAAATTCTGTTTTCCTTTGCTTCTATCAAATTTTAATCTGGTTAAACACTTCAGCTACAATGCCTCAGTTATTTTCAAAAACACTACAAATACAAATATGCTGGTTTGTTACCATCTTATTTTAAAAGGCTTTTGAGCATGGGCATGTAACTGAATAGGGTAGAAGAGAGAGAAAGTGAGTATATCCGAAAAATCTACTCAAAATTGGTCTAGCTATAAACATTATGTATGCAGAAAAACAATTATGAATTCTCCTTTGCATTGTGGCAACTCATCATCTACAAAGGGAGGCTACAGGTCTTGTGATAGAATGTTACACAACCATATGCAGAACTTACAAGTTTTAACAACTTCAGCAGCACCATACCTGAATGTGCTGGTATATGCAAAGTTTTCAAGTCACACCTAACTGGCATTGGCTTCATTATCTGGAAAGGGTAAACACACACATTACGACTTGACTCTCTCTACATGTCTTAATGCATTTCAGAAAGTTTTTAAGTAGTTCAACACAAAACCACAAAGATACAAGAACAGTACAAGATGGCTGCACTCTTCATTATTGAAGCATTTTCAATTATTTTCTGCTGCGTATTTCTTTCAAGTAGATATTTGAGATTTAACACAACCCTTGGGTATAGTTACATCGTTAGTCTTTCCACGTAACTGATTTTTCTAATGAGAAAACAAAATGTTTGGGTTTTTTTCAGTTTAAATTCTTTATTTCACTTCTGTGCAAAAGCATCGCTTAATTTTTAAAAGCTACTGAAAAGATTTAGTCCAATATGAAGCTGAGACCCTATGAAATGTTTAAGTGAATCATTACCATACAGTATATACACACATATATCAGACCATTCCAGTATATGAAAACTCATATTTACACAGACCAATCCTTTGTCAGATATACTTTTTTCACAATACATCATTTCGTGGTACATCAGATTGGACAGCTGCTCAGACACTGTACACTGAGTGTTATTTTCAGCAGCTAAAGCATACACAGAAGATAACTGCATAGTGGAGTTTAAGTCTTTGACACACAAAGCCTAGGCATGAATAAAGCTTTTCTTCTAAAAGAGGCCTTCAACTCCATGGGTTGGCAAAACAAAGAATTTTTATTATATAAACCAATGTATCTGCCATGGTGGCTTTTAAAGTTCTGCCAGCAGCTGGTAGGTCTTTTTCCAGGAGATTAAATCACAAGCTCTTCAGCGTTACTAGATGTCAGTATTGTCCTTTAGTTTTAAGACTGCAAAGTATGCAATGACTGATTATGTGTTCCTAGAATTTAGTGGGCTGTTTTGCATCGATTCAGAGCCTGGCACCGCACGGTAAAGAGATCAGTCTCAGCGTCTCATATTAGTATTCAAACCCCTCCTGATCTCATTTCTTGTAGTAAGAAGAAAAGTAGAAAAGGGCTAAGGCTTTATGAGGCAGAACTTAGAATTAACAGAGGTGGCATTCAAATGCATCATTAGCTCTCCAATTCTCCACTGGCAACAATGTCCCCCACTTTCACCTCAGACATTAAAAGAGGAGAGGGGGAGAGGGCGAGGGCACGCGCTACTTACGCTAAAGCAACAATTATAACACTCTTCTAGTGAGCTAGCTATTCACTTCAATGCAAAATAATGTTTTTCCTACACCTGCCACTTACTCAGTAAAGTGGCTAGAATAACTACTTTTTGCAGACAGAAACAAAAGGAAGACTAAGGGGGTTCTTGTCAATCATTCCTTCTACTAATACTGCTCGTATGCCCACGCACACACATTACATGGTACCAGCCGTGTAGACCTCTGATTCTTCTGGGCCTGCACCTTCCTCTTGGCACCAAATAAGTCTCTGCTCAAGAGACTCCTTACAAACTGCAGTTTCCCACATCAGAATCTACCGGACAGCAATTGGATGAACATTTCTTGTAACTTCAGGTTGTCTTTCCCAGAGAAAAAAGTTCATGTTTATAAGAAACATGATTATGTCTAAACTTTATAGAGTAACAAAAGTTATTCTGTAAAGGTCTAACCCTTAATGTAAAAGCCTTTACAGACAGCTTTATTTTGAGTGTACCAAGACACCCGGGAAGTTTTGTTTTAATAACTATTCTTTACATGAACACAAGTTATCAGAAGACACATCTCTGAAAGCACAGAATGGAGCATTAAATAGCTTCCATTCCACGTAGGAAATTCTTTAATATTAAATCCCAAAATAAATTAATTCTCCCAATTAGCAATACAATAGCACTATAAAAGACTGCCAAAAACTTGCATGAGAGCTTGCCAGATAACCGGGTGGAACTATTTCAGAACGAGAATTATAAAATACAGGAAAGGAGTTTCACCCTGATTAAAGTTTTATCTGCAAAAATAGCCTCACCCACAAGTTCCTGAATCTAATATTTTATTTTGCTATACCTTTGGATTGTCAATGATCGGTGTTATGATAAGATCAGATTCAGTGTAAATGAGCTCTTTCAGTGTTGACTCCATATCCTGCTGACTTGAGCACGTATTTTTAGCCTAGAACAAGAACAAAGGGGTTTTTTTTTTTTTTTAAATAAAGTTAGCTGGGGACGGGGTGGGAGGCAGGGCACATGTAGGGTATCTTTGTTTATCCCTGCAATATTTTCTGTAAACATACCCCACAGTGTGGCCATGTAAATATCTGATATTCTGAATTACTTTTCATTTGTGTAGTGGCACATGGGGCTTAGACTTCCTAACTAGAAATCAGGATAAATAGGCATGTAGGAGGAAACACTCCCAGTACAAAGAGCTTGCAACCTAAATTTCAAAAAGTAGATTAAGAAAATAGCGTTATTCTCCCCCCACCTTTTTTTGTAAAGCCCATTAAAGCCAACTGTCATAGACTCCAGGCTAAAAATTTAACCATGAAGATACCACTACCCCACTATTATTTTTTGACTCACCTTTGTCAAGTATGACTCTCTTTGGGGAGAATTTTGGATTGGGGCAATAGTAGCGTCACTTATTTCTACTGCAGTGCTAGTTCTAGGAGTGGGACGAGAACTTAAACAACAGTAAAACAAAAACAACAAAAAAAAAGAACAAAGAGCACATTAAGTTTCACTGCAAAACTACAATTCTTTTTTTGAAACCTTCATACCATATGGTAAACGGTCAAAGGCGACAGGCACAAATGTTATACCTGCTCCACCAACTTCCTGACTTTAGATATGTCCTAACCAGGTTAGGATTTGTTTGCTGGTTAGAAATGGGAAGGATTGGGGTATTCTGGTTAAATGCCTTTAGATTGTTTTTCCACCCATGCTCAGTTCTCTAAACTCAATGACAAAACATTACTATCTTATCTCCTAATATTTAATGTGTCACCAAACAACATCCCAAGAAAACTAATTTGACAAAATCGCAATTTACTTTATGTTATTCTCTTCTGACTGCCAACTTTTTGAAAATTAACGGATACTAAAACTGACTGATTTTGGTATATGGATGTGAGCTGCGTTAAGTTTTCAAATCCTTCTTAAAAAAAAAGAAAAAAAAACTTTGTCTGCTGATTAGAAGAGGGGGAAAAAAGGAGAGACTAGAACAATGCAGGTCTGCAGTTTTAATAAAGTCGCTACTGGACCCATTACTGATGGTATGCACTACGTATTTAAAATCAACATTAGAATTATTTAAATCAGCAGGCTCAGGATCTGTGATTTAAACAACAACTTTAATTTCATTTAGTGCTTGTTTTTTTAGCTTTCTAGTCAATTTTCTCGTTTTTGTTTTCTTTTTCTGATAACTGAATCTCCAATTTGCAACCAAATGTATACATTACCTTGATTACCTTTTGCTAATCAAGAAAACACATCAATTTGAACATACTCATTAAATCAATCATCAAGTAATTAACAGTTGTTCTCATTTTTTTATTTTTATTATGTTAAAAATAGCATGATTTTTGTATTTTGACAGAAAATTAAATATAAAAGGCATGATTAAGTGGTACTTAAATATTGTCTACTAACTAAATAAAACTACATATGATATGCTAATTCTTAGGGTTAAAAAAGAAAAATCAGAATCTGCTTAGAAGTTTAACTTCCTAATTTAAAAAGGTATGATTTGTATTTAGGAGACTGAAAGACTTATTCTAGGTTCCTACATGCTTGAGAAGATGCAGAATTATAAAATATGTTTTTTTTCCCAAACCTAATTTGTATTTATACATGTTTGAAAGGCAGAAGACAAACTGGCTTACTTTTCCAGTTCTCAGCTGCCTTCTCAACTCTAAGTGGTAGAAGTGATCCCTGAACTGAACTAACTGAAATAGATAAGATCTATTCTCTTTGCACATGTGGAAGAAGTTATGGCTATCGAAAGCTGATTCATCGCTTCAGCAGATAGGTAAACTCTGCTGTTAATTGCCAGGTCAGCAACTTCCTTCCACTTCAATGTTTTAAAATGTTAGCAGGTAATACATACTGCTTTGAGAAGTTAAATCACTCAAGCAAAGACATTTTCACTAAAGAATATAGAATTTTACAGTATTACATTTCAAATTTCATATTTAAATGTACTCATCATAAACAAAATACATTGCTCTTACATCTACACTATTATCTATTCTCACTCCCGATAGAATTTGGGACACGTTGTTATAACAAGTGTTTGTAATGCCAGTGCAGATTTCTTCTCAACAGACTCCTAAAACAAGAAGCAAATGCCATTTTAAATGACTAATAGTATTGTTTTAGCTGTGATGGTATAAGGCTGTAAGTCAGATGAAAGTCATATTTTATTAAACCAACCAAAATAACTGTAAAATAGAAACACTATCATGCACAAAAGCCCTATTTCAGATTATACAAGACGGCTGAAAAAGCACTTAATTTTAAACTAAAAATTTCTGCTTGATGAGTACAAGAACAAAACCTATTTTAACCAGAAAATGTGTTTGGCTTAACAGCTAGTACAATGTTTCAGAATCAGGCCTGAACTGAAGCAGATCATTGTTACACCAAGCACTATTTCTTATTAAAACCTACTGTAGTACTTAGATTGTTACCAATAGTTTGCGACAAACAGCTGCAGGTAGCATTTTTAGTGTATCTTAAGCTGAATGCAGTAGAACTTTTTTTTTTTTTTTAAATATATCTCAAGTTAGAAAGAAAGAAAAAAAAGTTCTAAATAAAGTCTTCTGTTTATCCAAACAGCTAAGAAACCAAAAGACTTTACTTACAAAACCAGTGTCATAAAGCAGTAACAACATTGCTTTAACTGCTCTTCAAAAGTGTCTTAACATTAGGCTGCCGATATAAAATTCAAAAGAAAACACTATAACAAAATGTTACATACAGAACAATAAAATATCTGAGAAGATAGAAGAAACATATACGGACTTTCAAGTGTTTTCTAATTGTTCTTTTGATTTTCATACCTGAGGAGAAATAGGGATTCATTTGATTCACCATCAGCTGCACTTTTCGGCCGCAGTTCTGTCAGATTTTCTACTGAGAAGAGACCATGAATTTGCATTCAGAGGTTAAAAAGAAATAAAACGTAGGAGATAAGTATATTGGTGAGATCAAGAGACTGACAATTCACAGGACATAAAATAACTTAAAATAATACAATGAATAATATTACCTATTTTGAAAGAACTGCTAGGCAGCTTATTATCTGTTCTTGAGGATGACAGGTTATCTAGATCTGTATGAGTATCTACTGTCTCCTTGACATCCCAAGGTACATATGACTCCGCGTCTTCACTACTGTTTAATAGAAGATATTACACACATTAAAAAAAGAGATCATACCTGTTATTTGTTGCAATTATTAACATAGGATTTAAGTATTATTCTCACAGACTGGAATCCTGTTGTGGTACATCCTTCACAAATATTTTGTATGTCAATAACATCAATTATAGCAAACAAGCTTTTAGCAAGTGACTTGACTTACGGAATGTTAATAATTCTCCAGCTTCCTCACAGAACTTGCATGCGAGCAACTAGAAAAGCTAAATCTATAACATCAGACCTATAGGGAAATACTAAAAGCTATAAAGACACCCTTCAATCTTCACAGGACAAAGTCACAGCAAACATACATTTAATAAGGAAGTCTGTAATCTAGATTACGATCAATAAAAATTACCACTTTTCTGTTTAAGGATTGACATGTCGCATTTAATTGGAAGGGATTTGGGGTTTATTTTTTGTTTTGTGTTTTGTTTTTTAAATACACTCTCAGCTATTCACATGGCACTGGGTCACATAACCTTCCTTAAGGGTCTCTAGAATACCAAACATTACATCTGCTACTGTGAAGAAAATAGCTATATGATCCTATCTGGAAAGGAAAACATATAAGGCTTCATTTGCATTTCCAGTCCCCCTCTCAGGTTTGTCAGTTTTGTCAATTACATACATACCTACAATACCTCAGTGGATATTTCAGAGGCATTAGAAAGCCCTGAAGAGTACTGTCAAATAGCCCAATGCTTTTAAGAGATTAAGATCCTTCCAATTCCCAGAGAATTCCTTTAAGATGACCATTGTGGTGGCAGCTGACATAAATCTCACTAATGCTTCTAATAAATTCTTATTTTGCGGTATGAACTTTAAATCTTGATTCTTTATCTACCTTGGGAGCACAAGAGGTAATAAAATCAAAAGGCAGTGAGCAATGTCTCAAGCTAGAACAAACACTACTACCAGAAATACTACAGCACTGTTATCTGAAACAGGGAATTAAACAACACAAGAGATTATAAGAATAGATATAACACAGAAGCACTCAACATTCAAAGAGGGTTACTCTGTTTTCAGAGTAATTCCCTGCATTGGAACCTAAACTGTCTTTCAAATATTGGGAAAAAATGTTCATAACAAAAAATACCAACACCTTAAAACACCCGCCTCAAAAACATCTCCCCCAAAAACACCCCTCCTCCAAAATCTCAGTAAGATAACAGAAGCTCTGAAGAAGCCTAACTATGTTAACGCATAGAGCCCATTTTCACAAAAGGTTTTGGGATTTTGTGAACATAGCAGGGTAGAATACTATAAATTTAGGGGAAAAAAAAGCCATTAGATTAATGCTTGAAGCAAAGAAAATGGGTCAGCTGCATTTGCAAGGATGTTAGGCTGAAACACACAAATCCAGGATACTGTACTGATAGGCTTTGCAATGTTCTAAGCCTTAATGCATAAAAACAAACAAAAGGTTTCAGTGAAACAGGGATAACATTGACCCATATTTATAAAACTCTCCAAGAGCTTTCAAAGAACAGTATTAATAAGTCAAATTACTATGCATCTTTATTATATAAACAAATAAATGAAGATGGGAGCAGTTAGTTTATCTCAGCAAGAAGTTTTAATGCATTCTATACCCAACGAAGAATGAATTTGTTGAATACAGACTCTGTAATACACTAATAGGATAATACAACTCCTAAACATCCAAAACCGTCCATTGAATGGTGTAAAATTCCATTGACCAGATTAGTTAACAGCATGAAAATCCTAAGCGAAATTTTCACAGAAAAATCATGACTACCAGAAAGTAAGTATTTATAAAAATTTATAAAAATGTATGTTCATTTATAGTTATTACAAAAGAAATTTCCCTTGAACTTACAGTACCTTGAGCTTATGTTCTGACTGTGTGCAGAATCACTATCGCAACAGCTAAGGGAGCCTTTCCAGAATGGATGCTGCAATAGGTCTGTCCAGTTCAGCCTTTTGAAAAACAACAAACCAACTGAAAAAGCAGTGACAGAATACAGTGACATAAAGAGATACGAGGCTAAGTTTTGAACACAATGGCACTATATACGGACTAACTGACCCCATCTTTCACTTTTATTTGGTCTAAGTTCTCTTACAGGAGAAACTTTTTGCCTCACATCAAAATGGAAGAGGCACACAACGCAGAAGGACAAGACAAAGAACATAGGAAACTGCACAGCCAGGCCCAGCATTTAAGTTACCTGAATTACCCTATTGGGTAATTGGATAATCTTACGTTATTTAACAATTTAAGTATAGCATCTATAAATAAAAGCTTTGTAAAAATAGATAAGTCCATTCCTCTAGAAAAGCAAAGCCATCTAGATTTAAAACTGCCCATTATTTCTGTTACAAAGTTGTCTATTTAGCACCACCAACACAAATATTTAATCAAAACATTAATTCTGTACATCTTTGCATGAGAAAAAACACACTATGTTCCTTTATGTGAAGAATGAAAAGGTTTTTGCATTCTTTTCAATCTAGAAAATACTATACATGTAGTATCATAGCAGTGATTTTTTTCTGGAGATGAAAAATGTTGATGTAAACAATTATCATAGATTGGATACTTTACCTTTTCTGGGGATCCTTTTGAAGCAAGCCATCAAGCAAACTAATGAACTCTGCAGAAGGTTTCTGAAAAGCAGAACCTGTAAACAGAAGCACTTAAGAAGATATGCATTCAGCAACAAAAGCCAAGACTATTGTCCCACAGTGTAGGCCAAATCATTACCTGCAGATTACACTAGAACAGTTTCAATAATAACAGTAATTTCACAAAAAAAGAGTATAAGGAATCCTAAATAAAGATTCTTTGTATTTCAAAGGATCCTCAAAAAAGAAAAGTGATCACCGAACTAATTAAAATTGTTTATAATATACAAGAAAAAAGAAAAGTTATCCTCCAATTAACAAATTTGTAGTTACAGAAGAAATTTTTAGTAACTAGTGAAATAATTGGAATTATCCAAATAACTGTTTCCTGTACTGCACAAAAAATTACTACATTTACAAATATCTGTCCACAAAACATATTAACGCTTCTTTCATAACAACTTCCCATTAGCTCCAATGAAAATAATGTTTGAAGCTTACAGGAAGTGTGGTCCATACGCTACTAATTATTCAAAGCATTTAATACAGTCCAATAAAATATTTCAAATTTTAAAGTTATCAAACAAATAAATGGGTAGTCTTAAACAGATGATAAGCACCAACCGATTCAGAAACGTATTTCAATACGTGATATTCTAGCACCACACTGCAATTGCCAGTTTCCTCAGCAATGAGAGAACCTAAACATTTTGTTAAATTATCCATGGATTGTTTCAAAAGGCTCTGCTTTTTCTTTTTCACTTTTGGTACAAATATATGAGGAGCTAAGAGGAGCATTTATCCTGTACTGATGAAGTTGAGAAAAACAAACAAACAAAAAAATTGTAGTTTATGCCTTGCCCAAGAAGGGACAAAAGAGAATCACAAAGCTGTTAGCAAGAAGTAAAAGGGAGTGGAAAGGCACTTCAACCAAAATTAAATCTATTGCAACTGTGACAAGTAAAAGAACTATTATTACACGCTGTTTCTCAAAACTGGTTTTCATAACTCTTATCTAACTGACAAAAACTGTTTCTGAGAGATCAAAACTATGAAATTCAACTTATCCACTTCAAAAACAAAATATCCATTAGTATGAAAACACGTAACAAAAATTGTATTCTAACAGTGACTGTTTTCACTACATTACTATCAGCTGAAAAGAGCCGCCAATACTGAAGTGCCTCCATAAATATCACTGATGCCCAGAACGACAGAGTTCAAAAAATTTCACTTCAGAACGCAGATTTACTTTTAATTCTTTAATAAATTCTTAATTCTTTAAACATTAAGTCTGTTTGTCGAGCTAGAAATAAGCATTCATCATTAAAGGAGAAAGTTAATATCAAAGGAAGGCCAGCATTAACATTCACATTCTCAGAAGAAACATTGCAAAATAAAACTTTAACTTCGTAAGTATTATTCTGATTTGACCCATTTAATCATAACAGAACGTTACCCTTTGGTCTAGGTGGCAACGGATCTTCATATAAAATCTTTTCAATTAATTCAGCAAAGCTGTCCGAGAAGAACGGTGGTCTTCCTACAGACAAAAAGAAGTTTATTGGCAGTTCAGTCAGGCTTCAAAATGATTGTCAGGTGTAATGATGCATGATGAGCTCATTTTCCTAAGGAAATGTCAAAAGAAATAAACCTTCAGTCTGAACTCCATTTACAAAGTTCACTTGTCAATTTAAATATAAAACCTTGGATTACATTCTTCTACCATGAACAGCAGAAGAGATCAAGGACAGAACAGGCACCTAAGGTGGCTTGCTGGAGGTCACTAATTGTAGCTCTGTGCAAATCAGCAATAAGGCAGAAATAGAAAGTCTAGGCAGAAATCTCAACATCTGAATAGCTATGCTGATCCAATAGACCAGCATATTGTCTAAGACTTCAGAAGACTGCACTAGATTTCCCTTTTATGGTGAAGCTTCCCTTCCAACTGCAGCCAATGCTAACGGTCACTTTATCTGCAGGAAGGCCAATAACTCTAGCGTTATACTAGTGAACCAGTTTTCTCTTTCAAGGATTAACCAGAGTTTAATACTGAAGAGAGTAAAAACATAATATCAGAATGTGAATATGGTTATAATTTTAAGTCTTAACATTTGAGCATAGGTGGTTAATATCATAGTCAGATCTCAGTTAAAAGCGTTATTCAACACTATTACTTCAGTTGATTATTTTATAAAGAGCTCATTAAGACCTTATTAAAAAAAACAACATAAAAGTACGTTTGGTATAATCTTCAAGAAATCTTTAACACCTATCATAAATTTTTCTGTCTTAACTTCCCAGAGAGTTGACCAGAATTTACATTGGGACAACAACTTATGTTTTCATTATCACATACGTCAAATAGACACACAAACTTACAACCTGAGAACATTTCGTAAAGTAAACAGCCCAAGGACCACAGATCACTGGATTTGGAGAAGTCTTCTCCCCTTATTGCTTCTGGAGCTGTGTATAATGGAGAGCCTACAAAATACAGGATGTGCAATGCACTTGATTACTCATTCAGCATCTATCCTGTTCAACACTTTAAACTTGTCTCCACGCGAAGATATTCCTAACTCACTAAAAACAAGATTACTTAAATTCAGTATTTCAATTTTGACAGAATCTCTTCCTCTCTCTATTTGTACTGAATTATTTAGGATTATAGAAACTATTTTATTGTTTGTTTCACCTCCATTACTCATCTTGGTTTGTGCCATGTTGTCCTAGCACAATAATTAAAGTGAGGAGCGTTTTAATGTACCTTGACAGATCCAGAGCCAAGCAAATTGAGCAGATGGTAGGCCAACATAATTCTCATGTGAAGAACAAATATAATTATGTTATTTCAGGTTCAAAAAAATAAATAAAATTAAGGTGTCCCAAGAAATAAAATTCCAAGGAATTAGAAAACTGTCACAAAAATCAAGGTAGCTGGCAAACTGGATCATTGATCTAAAATAGTTGTAGCTATTTTCACACTGAAACAGTGTGAAAACGTTACCTATCAAATTGTAGCAGCTTATCTGCAAAACCCTAACACAGAAACAGAAATAGGCAGCAGTTCCCACCTAGACAGTAACCAGTTTCTTTAAGATCTCTACAAAAATTGCACAAACTCAGCAAAAACGTCAATTTCATAGTCCTTCAGAAAGCTTATTTTGGTTTCTTTTGTTCTTAGGGTTTTTTTTTTTTTTAAAGTAAGGATAGGTCATAACCATACACATCAAGACAGCTGCTCTGAAAGGCAACAGGAAAGAGATTAGATTTGTATTTCTTCCTGAATAAGGATCTCTTCTTGCTCTTAGTACTTCCAGTATGAACTTTAGCAGGAGAGCGTGAAGCATTAAGAAAGCGCTCTCTGTTTGCATAAATTATTGCCAAGAATTCCATTGCTCCTGATACCAACAATCACTATGACACACCATTACCTTGGAAAGATAAGTCTGTCAGTCCAAGATACTGACTATTAAAAGATTTTGAACATTAAAAATCAAGACTCTTGATTTTTTTCATATTATGTGATGAAAAACACTAAATAGCATTTGGAGCCTACTGTATTTGCATGGATCTGTCCATTGAAATTGAAGTGTAGTAACCTTTATATTTAGGAATGATCACCTTTTTGTGATCAAAAAAAAAGGTACTGAAAGAGTCAATCCTCAAACCAGAAATTATATGGATCACATATCAAAAAGGACACTGGAAATCTTAGGTCAATAAAATCATGAAAGACAATCTCTTAACGACTGCTAAGGGGATACCTAAGAGCAATGCAAAGTCTCTAATGAAAGAAACAGTAGTCTGTGCAGTACTTACTGAACTTTGTATGTTTAACATGAAGTTAACAGAATTCGGTCCTAGACCCTACAGAGAAGACCTGATGTGTATACTTTTTGAAAATTCGTAAATAATTCCATAGCTCTAATTTGTCTGAGACAAAACATCATTTCTAAAACACCTTCTCTTTGCTTTATCATACTTCCAATAACAGTTATTTCCTTGTTTTCCAGTTACTGCTCTGTAACTGGGCACAAAACTTTTAAAGTACGCTATTTCCTTTAACTCATTTTTTTGTATATGCTGCCCTATATCAACAAAGTAATAGAAATTAAACTGGCTTTCCTAAATCATGAAATTGTAACTCTGAATTTCCCTCATTTAAAATTTTTTCCTCAGTCTTGAAATTCTATTATTTGTACTTAGCTGACTATATGAGAAATGCATGAAGGTCCGAAGGTATTGCATACTAATAGAAAAAGTAAAACTGTGCAAAAAGTAAGCAGGTAAGCAAGAATTAAGTCTCCTCGGCAAACCCAAATCAAGAATTAATAGTTTCAATTAACTTGCTACCTTGAACCATTTCAGATCTTTTTCATATAACTCACTCTAGTTTGGGTTTTTGATGGGATTCTTTTAATTCTTGAAATTTTGTTTTTCCTTCCACAATGCAAAAAGTATCAAGAACAGTTTACAAGCTATCGAAAACTCACTCACTGTCACGACAGAAAGTTTGTACAATAAACTGCATTGCTGGGATGTGATGTCAGGCTGCAAAAGGCAATTCAGAATAAGCCACTTCCAACTATACAGTTATGTTAAAACTTCACAGGCTGCATTACACTTATTTAACCTCTCAACCCCTATACCTGATCACCTGCATTTGAGCTTCAATCTAAAGATAACCTGAAGTCTATTGAGAACAAGCAGTAAAGGTCAGGAGCGACTATTCTATCACACACCATAAGACAGACAGAAATGTACTTTTCCAGCTCTTAGCTAAACTTGGTTTTGTAAAACATAGAATTCAGAGCATATTCAGATCGTATGCTAGTTTCTTCTCTTTCTACTCAGGTCCAAGTGCTGTTTCCTATTTTCTCCATATGTTATGATACCTCTGAACAGTATTGCTTAAGTAAAATCCTGCTTTTGAGCTTACTTAAAAAATTCTCCATATGTAGAATTTGTAAAATCTGTTTACAGAAACCTTACAGATCACGCTTTCCGTTGCCAGCGCAGAAGTAAATACATTAATCCTTACAAATGATCACACAATGGAAGGAAGGGTATTTAACAAACTTCTCCATAATTGCACAAAGTTTAACTGTTAATTACTCAGGTTCTCTAGAAATTTTAAACCCCTCAAAAGAACAATGAACAACCATCATATTTCAAATTTTCCTCTCAAAACTACTTAAAACAAAAGCTTTTTTCAACTTTCAATCTGTCCCCCTGGTTTGAGTTAATTTTGGTTAATAAGAACACATATTGTACCTTGGAATCTATTTTTCAGGTATCTTTGTGGAGTGCTTTCACTGATATCTCCCCCTCCTTCCTCAGATCCAACTAAAGCAAAAAATTCTTCCAAGTTCTCACCGTCTGCCTTAGCCAAGCAAAAATTACTAAATTTCAGGGTGCCAGGCCCTTCCAGCAGGATCTAGAAGAATAAACATAATCCAAAACATGAGTATCAGGTTTTAAAATTGATGACTGCTGAAATTTCCAGTACAAATTTAAAAAAAAAAAAATTGAAATCATGCAAGTATATGTAGAGAGATGGTCACTGTTATATACGAATGCACTGAAAAGTTTGAGTCAATATTAAGTCTTTTTTCCCCCTCTTACGACCAAAAGTTAGAGAAGAAGCTCACAATAGAACTCTCAGAGGTTTACTCTTTATTAAACATAAACGAACCATGAGGTTACCAAAGGAAAGACAGTAAAAAGAAACACTGCTTCATTTGAGGAAAGTGCAAAAAATAGTGAATATTTCTAATTTTATTTGGCAGAAAATTTCAAAGATTTTGGCCAATGCTCATACAGTTTCTTCCACATAGTCACTGTCTATTCTTAGGGTAAAGAAAACTTCACAGTCCCCAACATACTGTCTGAAGAGATAGCCCATTCAGGCAGATGGATCAAAAGCAGTCTCACTTTGGAACGCTATTTTTTGTTCAAAGGAGTACTTTACAGCTCCCTTCTTCTTCAGAAGAATAAAACCACATCTCCATTATGTTTTATTCATATATTTACTTTCTACTCATCAACCTCTAAGTTTTATAGAAAATTCAGGGAGGAGGGCAACTTGATCACTTAAGGAGTTACAGTCAAGAACAGAATTACTGTTAAGCAAAACTTTTGGTCATAATTACATTCTGGTTACTACATAAATTGAAATAAAAGAAACCACAGACTGACAAAACTATGCATAAATTCCACATATGCATAAATACAAAACCAGAAAGTACATAAGGATTTGTAGTCTTGTTTTACACAAGAGTAGGGTAGTAATTTAAATAATGTATGAAAATAGCATAGGAGGTTATTTACAAAGGAAATTTATTTAATTTCGCTCTTTCAAAATACTCTTCATAGTTCTCTGCAGCATGATAGGTTAGATACAAAACCCAGGTTATTTGCTGTAGGATTAAGAATGGAAATCCTTCATTAATTCATATCAGTATACCAGTTCAGTACAGCAGCTCAAAAAGAATTATCATATTCTGTCAAACAGACAACAGCGAAAGAAATCAAATCAATCACAAACTATTCAAGTTATGGACTCGTCTCTCATTGTGTCCACATTTATTGCAAAGCTCAATAGGCTTCCAGCTAGAGGTAAGCCTCTCACCAATAGCACAATGGAAATAATTAAGTGTTGATGACATACAAATTAACAGGGCATGTCCACTATTAATCATATTCTTGGGTTACCTTTCCTGGCGTCAGTTCACAAAAGATAATTCCAAGATTATGAATATGGTGTAAACCAGTAATTAAATCAACACCAAATTCTCTCACTACATCTTCAGGTAGATGTTCGTCTTGAGCAATAACCGATTCCAGAGAACCACCTGAAATATGTTTACACATAAGTCATCAATTGCATATAAAGAAGAGGCCATGTAAAAGGCATTATATAAGCCTTTTCAGAAGACATCAGGCAAAAATCATTAACAGTAACTACTAAAAACAGTTCTTAGTCTTCAACTTCTTGAGACTATACAACAGTTACAAGTTCCAAGATGTACAGAAATAATCTGTTTCTAAGACTGTGACAAAAATCTTAATTTTGACTACAATTACACCAAGTGCATGACTGTAAAAATACTTTAATATTGCTTTATTTTACACAGAAAACAGAAGGAAAGCAACCCAGAGACTGTGTCATGTAACATTGTAATAGTACCCTCGGGGTTTATCAGCTTCCTTATCCAGATCACAACCTCATGAGTTAATAGAACAGATGATACCAAGAATAAGCTATCACCTTTAAGAACAGGCACTAAAACCAATGACATCAATTTTCCTATTTCTGTTGCCTATGAAGTCAGCGGAAAACTGTAGTTCCATTCTGGGGGTCCAGAGGTCAACATTATCTAGCAGAGAGATTCTT